TAGCAGCCGTATAGTCATCGTCAGTTGAACTGGGTGTACCTTTCATTTGAATAGTGTAGGTAGGTATTATGTACAAATCATCTACAACACATGGACAACACCTTTTAGTTTTCACTTAGCTTTCGTCTTTATGTATCCTTGTACCTAATTGGGTAATCATTAATTACAAAAACAATCTCACTTCTTCATTCGTTAAACTTTAACTTTTGTTGAAGACATCATGTACCTACCCTGTGCAGTAATAGGAAGATTATTTATTGACTCAGGACCAGATATCATCATGAAATCCTATAAGCTTCTAGACTATAAGGGATTTTTTATTTCGGTGGCTATCAGAGTTACATTTTTACTGTCTTTTTTTTTTCTTCCGACAATTTCCGTAGAAATAAGTAGTATGATCATTAGCTACCGAAAATTCGGGCGTGACTTGAGAAGTACCAGTTGAAAAGAGGTGATCACAGCGTCCTAATATTTAACATTATTGTGGCTATCTGTTCTTAATAATTTTGTTCTTTTTGTGGAGTATAAACATATAATCAATAATGGAATATAATCAAATAATGCTTTGGAATCATACATAAGATATAGATTTTACTAAACCTTGAATCTGTATTTAAATTAGTTTCGGTTGCAATTTTTTGATTAGTAATAAGAGTTTTCTTTCTTACAATCCTCATGAAATTAAGTGTCCTATAAAACTGTGCAAAACGATATTCGTCGCCATTTATTTATTTATTTATTATTTATTTATTTATACATCATGCACTTTTGGTGCATTGGCGGACTTAATGCCTAAGGCATTCTCTACCTTTCAGTTTCTTACTGTTTTTTTTTTATTGTTTAATCAAATGTTAAAAGATAATGATTTGACAATAGTTATGTATGACGTCAAAACTCATTATTTTATACAAACTATGGGGTAGCCGTTTTGACATCCAACAAAGGGGTAGGCACTCAAACTGTCAAATACTGTACCAGATAAGGGCATCAATGCCTTTATAAAGTACGAAATAATCAAAATAGTTTTATATAGCTTCCATGTTAATATTTTTAGTATATTTTAGACAAACATTTTAGTGAAATAGAGCGCAAACAAGCCGACGTGACACCTGATGATGGTGACTACTGCTGGCCATATACACGGACAACTTTGGAGTCTCAAGGAGTGCGTCTCCTTGAGACTCCAAAGTCTTTGAAGTCAGAGGCGACAATTTGTTCTACAGGTTGGATGTAGGTACGAGTAAAATATTATTGAAAAGCGCACAGTGGGGGAGCCAATCATCATAGTGATGGGATAGAACATTTATCACGTTGAATGATAGCGGAACGCTGCATTTTATCTGTTTTCCTGTTAATCCTACGTGTACAGATTTCATCGTGATCCAAATTGCGTGTGTTACACACATTAATACAAGACATTCTATCTGGAATTATAATAACTGTAATTGGAATTTCACTACTGCTACAATTTATCAAACTGCCAAAAGGATGAACGTAAATATAAGCATAAAAAAATAACGGCATACCATAACAGGATTGTTAATAGGAATCATTGATACAATGATAGGAATTGCTTGAGTTTACATAATAAGGCGCCCGCCATCACAATTAGAACAAAGATCGAGTACTCCAATAATATAATGAGTAAAATGTCTTTCACCCAAATTCGAATGATAATTAACCTGTTAATATTCTAATTAAACTGATTATAAACTATTAAACACGCCATTTGCATTGGAAATGAATGCGTAGAATTAATTTGGCAATAATTACGAGACATGTTTATTTAGTATGAAACAAATACATACATAAATTATTTATTTGTTTGAGAATATAAACAAAACAGTGTTAGTAAAACTAGTATTGTAAAAACTTATCGATGTCAGAAACTAATAAATTAACAGTTTTATTGTTTTAGTATAAAAATACGTCCATGTTTTAGTCTTAAATAGTTACATCTAGTACATTCAGGGCGGGATAGTGTGGGTACCTATTGTATAATTTGCAAATTTTCCAGGTCTGTTTAATGAGGTAAAATAGAGAGCTATCCATTACTTCTTCAGCAGTCATGACATAACAGAACCTACATAACATTACCGCGCTATGTTTCAGAATCTGTGTTCATAATCTAAAAAGGATAACATTGGTGAAACCGGGCCTCAAAACCAACACTTCACGAGTGTACGTCAACGTTTACCCCGGGACAAAGCAAAAAAATTGCAAACTGCTGAAATAAATGTTTACAAATACAAAACCAACATTTACAAAATAAAAAGTGGTCGAAATAACTTTGTTGTAAAGTAAAAAGTACCGACAAACTTACCAAAAAGTAACTCCCACCACGCAATCACTGCTTCATAACAAACGCAGTTCCACAACAATGCTCCACAATAACTCTCACTCACTCATATAATAAATTAAAAGTAAAATTATTATTTATTTTGTTCAAAAGTTCGCGTATATTATCGCGATGTTGTCGCAACCGTGAGCGTCACGCACGAACGAGCGACAGGCGTGCACTCGATACAGAAGCCGCGTGCAATATGCCGGCCGGCCGATTGCCGAGACGAGCCAATCTGCCGTTCGTGCCCTCCTCACTCAAGCTGGTTCTTGCCGGCAGTCGTGCTGAATCCTTTACTGTTGTATTTCATAAACAGCTTATTACTTTTCCTTCTGGTATTCTGAATGATATTCCCACGTTATTAGTTGCATTTAAATATTTTATTAAAGTTTTACACTGCTTGTTTGACTGTTCTTGCTGTCTTTGACTATTAGTCGATTTGACGTTGTCACTTTTAAAAGGAAAAAAAAACAAAACTTTTTTCTAGTTTTATATGCTCAAACATGCAAGAAGATTCATTAGAAATTAAAAATTATAGGTCCCTTTATTTACAGAAGAAGTGTCCTGTATTCTGGCGTAAACCCCTGGCGCGATGGTTCTGAAACTAGTTTGAAGAATACACAGGAGTAGAGTAAATTATAGTTGCAAATACGTAACCTACGAAAACGGGGGACAATCCCCAGCATACTTTTTGCCCTTCAAAATAGATCCCTTACAACTGTATTGGCTAAGGCACACAACCAATTCAAGGAAAGAAGAAAAAAAAATCCCTCGAACAACCGCAGACATCGATAGACCGAACTAGAACTAGATAAAAGTACTGGGAAGTCCCCGAAACAATTGAACTAACGTGACTAGGTGGTGCAGTATCGCACACAGAGAACTTTAATTTTCGTTGAGCGCTCGAGAGTGGTGTGTGGGTTTGAGTCTGGTGCAAGTTCTTGGCGGACATTTTATAAACTATTCAGGGATTTATGTCCTCTGCAAACAAAGGTCCCTTGTCTGCGCAGGCCTCAAGCATTAAAAGTTCCATACGCCTTTATTTTCATAGTTATAGAGAGCTTACCACAATATAATTTATTTATCTTTAAAATGTTCCAGTGACTACAAATCACTTAAATCCTGAGACTTTTTTTGGTCATTTTGATACCTGTCTTGCATTCTTACGAGGGACTATTTTTCCAAAACTATGTGGGACCACACCTGAGGTCGCTTCCGTTTTATGACAAAAATGAATTATGAATTTTGATTAATTGATTATTCAAATAAAAGAAATATACTGCTTGATTAAGCCGCTTCTTTTTTTTGTATTTTGAAAGAAAGGCTTAAGAAACCTTGAAAAGTAAGAGACCTCTCGCAAGAAATAGTCGAATGAGCTGTTATTATCATATTAACGAAACTCCAATAAAAAAAAACTTAAACAACTTAATACTGTTTTCCAAAGTTTCTATACATTCTGCGAACAGTTCTTACACTACGGCTCTTGCTTAAAGAATCCTCAAATCTCAGAAGTGTAACGTGACCAAAATACGGACGCTACGGACCAGTAAAAGTTTAATTCGATGGCGGAACATAAGACGATCTACTGGGTGATCTCTAACACAAACATGACTTTAAGCAAAGGAGAAGAAATACTTCGTTTGAAGCGTTCCTAATGTTCATAAAATACAAGCTATAACCCGTGGCTTGGCTAGCGTGGTTATTTCTAATTTCGTGTTTCTAACTTTGGAAACGACAAACTTGCATACAGGCCTGATTTCACCCACTTAGGGGTGAAATTTCCAATAATCCTCACATAGAAGGTGCTTAAGACATAAAAAGAATCAGCAGCCAAAATTTCAAGTTTGTAATCCCAGCGGTTTAGGTTCTGTGTTGTTGAATTAGTCAGTCGGTGATAGTATTTGACGCGTCTGTTCCCCAAATTTGTCCAGTTCTCTCACTTACGAGTATACTGATGAAAAATGACCAGTTTCAAAGAAATTCACTGTAGAAAAATAGCTATAGATTTAACCAGTTAAATTTTAGTATAACTGTGTGCCTTAAATGCTAAAAAAATCCATTAGAACAAACTCCATCTCAAAAAGCATCAGGATTCTAGTTCTCGTTAAATTGCCACTTGAAAAAAGAAAAAAACACCAGAGACAAAGTAACAGTTTCTAACTTTCTTACGGGACAGGTTGCCTCTTATAAATTGTTGATGCCGGGGACCATCAACTTATAAGAGGGGAAAGGTCTTTGTTACCTCCGGGCCGTACTGGTGCCGGCACCAAGTACCTATTGACTACGACGAATTCAGATTTTAAGCATTGTAAGATAACACAACGATGATCTTTGCGCTTCGCCACTCCGAAGCATGATAATAAGAACTCGAGAAACAGTCCTGAGTATTTTAGTGAAATCTAGCTTGTAACTTCAAAATAAATATAGGTTTTTGGAACTATTTTACAAGTGAAATAATCACACTAAACTAACTAAAAAATAATCTTTATTCTTATGATTATAATACCATTAAGTATACGAATGGCAAATGAGTTTATTCTGTATGAAATACGACCTTCACAAATCAACATCCATTGTCGCAACTACACAAAGATGTGCGTGCATTTCTCAAAACTTTACCGAACCAGCCAGAGAAACGACACAATGCTCGACAATGGTATTACGTGGAGATCTTGATCCTGACATTGTATTGTGTGGAGCGCGCGCCGCATGCCACACCGTGAGAGCGGAAGCGAGCCCGAGAGCCCACCCAAAACATTAGCGCGGGCGTGTGGTTTGTACTTCGATGCACAGGCGATCTGAAGTCTTTCAAGCTTGGTTTGTCTTTTAAAACCGTTGCGTTATATATTCTTGAACCATCGAGGAACGAGTTTTGACAATTATGATCTTGGCACACAATATAAGAATTACTAAAAAATATTTGAAATACGATAAAATAAAATATTTAAATTTAGTTGTTGAAACAATAGGGTTGTTGGCAGCAATCATTAGGGGATTAAGCCCACTGTGGCAATTTTGTAACTGACTATTTAATAACTATTAGTTGTATCATGTAAAATAAAGAATTTGACATACATACATAGGTAATATACGTCACATCGAATTCGAATGACCACCAACGTGGTGGCTAGATTACCAAAGTTGGTTTTTAATATTAAATAAATAATAAATATTAAATAAATGGCTAAACTTAAAAAATAGTTTTTAGAATTCTTTAAAAACATTTTATTAGAATATTAGCTTTTGCTTTCAATAAGAAGGCTTGCTTTCATTAGGCGCGTTGAAAAAAGAGCAACAGTTTGTGGATGACATGTACTCTGTTATATTGGAAGTAAGTAATATAAATTATTATGTTCTTCTCCAGGCGCTGATGGCTCATGCCTTTCTGAACTCTGATTTACTAAAACACCTTTTCGCAGGTACGATGATTCCCTGGGTGTAAGTGAAAATCATTTCTTTCTTCATTTAAAGCTTTTATGTATTTTGCACAATCATTTAATATGTTAATTACAGAAGGGCGGATTTGCTTACGCAGCTTAAACCACATTTGTGACGTAACGAACCCAGTAAAGATCAGACGGAGAAACCTGTTTCAGACAGAGCTCACATCTCAACATATTCGCATATCGTTACATCAAGTAATGAATAAATATCGCGAGGCTTTATCAAAGATCTACATAAGTCTGTCGGCGGGTGCTCCGCCCCCTGATTGTAGGGAAGGCGCCGACACTAAGAGACCAACAGCGTACCCACACTCGCTGGTGCGGCTTTTTGTTCATATGCTATACTGTCTCTTGTCTTGTTTTGTTTAAAAATTCTAATTGCTTCGATCCTCTGTAGTGCTGAATTACAGAGTCACAGAATATTAAGGCGACATGTTTAGGTATCAGGGATAAACACTGTTTTTATGGTTTAGGTGAATATACCTATATATAATATACCTTATTTTTAAATCGTTGTTATGGTCCTTATATACACACTTTGTAACGGGGCCCAAGCTTCCCTACACCACAATAATTTTATCAAAAGATGCCTAAATATAACAATATCTTGATAAATTATAGTCTATGTGTTATTCTGATGTATATAATCCATGCATAGCTTTATACAATCTATTCAATAGTCTTCGCGTGAAAAATACTTAAAAACTTCATCCTGGAGAGAAACATCTAGTCCTAAGCCTCTTGTTCCGTATTTCCACATAAGGTTACATTTTTTTAAGGCCTCATGGATAAAATGAAATAAAAAACTTATTGCAATAATTACAGCCAAATCAATAGATATTATTTTAATCTGAATACTCGTGTACATTACCCAAATTAACCCTTCTAATTAAAGCAGCTGTTGATTAGAACAGGGGTGCGGCGTATATCTGAACAACCGGACAGAAGGGCGCGCCGTCGTGTTACCGAGGCTCGACCACTCCTTTACACACCCTGTGCGAGTTATGACGTCCTGGTACATACTCGTATGCAGCCAATGCATTAGGGTGTTTACCTGAGTGGCCATTCGTTATGTTTTGATAGCCTTGCTGTTCACACGATAACACAGAGTAAAAACCTTCCTTGTTATGTGGTATAAATATGTCCATTTTTGAAAACCTATGTACATACTTCACTAGATATTTAGGGCATTATTTAATCGGGATAATTCGTAATTCACGAGGCCTATACAATATTTCGAATAAAAAGAGATTTGAAATACCGAGAGGTTCGTAACAAGAAGTGAAATAAAAGTTCGAATTATTGAAAGTGAAAAATGATTCTAACACATTTTATCATCATCATCATCAACAGCCTTTAACAGTCAACCGCTGTTCATAGGCTTCTCCTTAGAAGAGAGGTGACACCGTGATATTCTTTATCCGTCACCACCACACATTTTATGTATTTATTTAATTTACTAAATAATTAAGTAAGTAGAAACATACTAAACTACATTCTGGGTGATTAGATTAGTCGCCAACTCTTTTGTCTTCTCTTTTAATAACTTTTCCAGTAAGTTGTATGGCTTAGACATTGTCTAGGCCTACGAATAATAATAATAAGATTATTCGTAGGTCTAAGCCAAATAACCAGAATCTCAAGAAAGTGAGAAGTGTGTATGGTGTAGAATTTATTTTTCCTTGTTTTTCAATTTGGTTTTAAGATTGTTCAAAGGAATATTAAAAACCTTCGCAATAAGAGAAGAGGCATCAGTTTTCTAGCCTCCTCTGTCGACAGATTTAATTAGTTGCTTCTTCTCCAATATTTTGTGTCCAAGCACCACGCTTCCCTGTTTAAATAGGTGTATGCCTATTTTTACTTCATTTTGTTGCCCGCTTGCTAAGAAAGGAAATAGATTTATTATATTTCCAATTTCCTCTGATTAATTTCGTTACGAGTTCAAAGACAGTTTAATTTATAAGTTAAGCGAATATTTAGCATAAGATAAGGCTAGCATGACTGAAAATACCGGTATTTAACGACAAATATTTTTATAGAATATTAAAAAAATTACCAGATTGTCCAGACTCATGGAAATATTTCTAAATATTTTGAAAACTTTTTTTAAGTTACTAAATTAACTAACAACAGTAACCTACATTTCCCACTGTTTACAATGTTCATTTTATCGTAGTGCGTATTAAATTTGCAATACGCGAGAACCAATGTTTTTCTAAATATCACCCACGCCACCTCCGCGCGTTACTGATCGCCTAATAACTCACCACAGGAACTGCATATAATGATACTAATAGCTAAACAATTACATATCTAATAATGACCATAGCACGTGCTTTGACACCTACATCAGATTTACATGGGATATTACGTCTTTGTGTAATTGGATTATATTGCGCAGTTGATCGGCCAGCAAGGTGAAGTCTGGACATTAAAAATTGTGTCTAGGTTTCTGTTTTACCTTTCCAAAGCAGCAGGTACCATGACCTGGGCGAATCTCGCCCTCCTTTTAATTAAATTATCATCTGAACGTGTGAGAATTCAGAATAGAATTGTTATTTCTTTATATCAGTCTAAAAGAAACAACTTTTTAAGTTTGTATAATAATTTGTTTAAGCAAAATTTTCTGTATAGATCAAAAAAATTCGAAAGTCGAAAAGGCCAAAACCAATCAGCGTGTGGTGTTTATCGCATATAACTTATCACGTCGGTCCTTGTGTGCAGGAGAAATATAAGTATGGAGGTCACCAAATATTATTTTATACTTACTAAGGAAGTACAGAGGTACAAGGAATCGATAACAAGAACTCAACAACGACTGGTTGTGGTAGTTCGCGTACATACTCGTACATTCAGCGCTTAATATTGTATACTCAGAATTACATGACATGTCAGCATTAACCACTACAAGCGCCTGTGGTTTTATGTTAGCAACACCATCTTGTGTTACTTCTAGAATGAATTTATAGAGAAAATATTTTTTTTAATTTGATTCTGGTTTCTACTGTATGTCAATGCGTTGAAATTAAATAAATTATCAACACAAAAATGCTTTTCTCAAGTTTAAGAGGTGGAAAGTTTGTAGTCCGAGTTGCAAGCGTGTTGCCATTTTAAACAACTGGCGAGTAATTTTAATGTTTTAAAATAGTGACTATGTTTCCATTAACCACCCTCGGTTTCTAGAGTTATCAAACTATTCTAAAATTCAACTTATAACTATTATAGATAGATCACAGAACAACAGACTGCGTAGTTAAAACCGCCAGAGTTCTATTATTATTTATTTAGTGTTATGCTTGTTTGTCAACACTTATAAAAGCCTACCTAATCCAAGATATGTTCACGTTTGCATATTAAGCTATATTTTTCGTGTAACGTAAGTATGTATGTATCAAATGGGTGTGTGTGCATGTTCTCTTAAAGCGATTTCCGTTTAAAGCATGAATTCTCCGAAAAAATAGCAAAACGACTGAAACGGCTCTGAAGTGGGTCAGTTTAATGAATCGCGGTCGAGTGCACGTGATGGCTGGAGCCCGGGAGGCACGAACTGCTTACAAAACGGGAGTAGGCCGACACAACATCTAGACTAACACTCTCCTCGCTAGCAAAAAGCTTCTATTCGCGTTAAAAATGTGCTCAACGTTTTCAAAGAACCGTAGGAAGAACTTTGGTTGTATTTTTTTTTTGTAGTGACTTCTGAATCTGATCATAAAAAAATAAATATCAAACCTCAGAGAGCCAATTTGTCCTATCTAGAGATATTCAAATTTACACCAAAGACGAAAAACTAGACAAAAGTCGATGCTGTATTAGTAACTTTTACGTCGCAGAAAAGTAAGACATTTTTTTTTAAAGACATCTTCCGCACTAGAAATAAATCCTGTGTCGCGGGTGACTTTACAAACATACATGAAACGGACACAAGGAACACCCAGACTCAAAACATTAATTTATGGATCACACAAAGTGTCGTCCCATGTGGGGTTTGAACCCACAACACTCGGCGCAGTAGCAAGCGGCGTGGCGACCGCTTAAACCACTACGCCATCCGTGCAGTCGTTATACCATTCGATTTTTTTTTCAGATTATTATGTAAGCCAATCTTCACTTCCTGCTGTCTTTATGGTATGTGTTTAAACTCACTTTAAACATATTACATATAAATTTATGCATAAGCATATTTATTTTATAAACTAAGATTAACAAATGATGGTTTTAAAGCGATGGATACCGTACTTGTTATGTACAACGTTATGTTATTTCATTATTTGTAAGGATGCCATGCTAAATGGTCACATTCATTGTTTGATAAGACGTCCCAAAAAGACTACAATATCTTTGTCTTTCAAAAATGTATGTTATCAAAAATCCCCGAAAGATACAATTAATACATTTTTAATGTTCAGTTTTGTTTCCAGCTTCATTTATGATGTTTTCTATTCCGCAATGCAGCAGACTTGAAGTATAACCCTAAGTACCATCAGGTTGATAACGAATCCCGCATTGCGGACTCCGGGACAGCACTAAAGCTACACGGGATTTTTACAACCACTTGAAATTTTAATAACTGCTCTACTGGACTTTTGCCAAACAATTAGCGCATCCATAGATTGTATTATGATCTTTACACATACACAAGCAAATGTTTTCGTTTTGTTTGTCTATTTATTTTGTTTATTTTTATTTATTACTAAGATACATACTACATTACATTATAGTTAGTAGGTACACAGTATTTTGTTGAGCTATCTTAGTTTGCCTGAACACAAGTATCAGCTTGTTCACTAAAAGGCAACCAATCACATCAACAGCCTTTAATAGTCCACTGCTGGACATAGGCCTCTCCTTAGAAAGGAGGTTTTGGCCTACTATACCACGCTGGCCAGACGGGTTGGTATAGGGATTGTATCAAGTTTTCCTCCTTTTTGCAGTGCTGGTGTCCTGCGTTGTTTTGCGCCCTTAGTCGCCTCTTACGACACCCACGGGATGAATTGGGGTAGTGACATTCCGTATTCTTAATCCGTCACTACACGGACGATATGGGCAATCGATAAAGACGATAAAGGCAACCAATGATAGTCAACAAATGACTGTACAAAATAATTTCTACCTCGCTATTATTATTGTTATTTAACACCGCATTAACTAATCACTCCACTTTTAGTGACTAGTAAGTCCATCGTACCGCAAACAAACCAGATGTATAAATATAATTTTTATAGCACTGAATGCTATCTCCGAATTCTTCGATCCGATATCGTGAGCACAGCAGTGAGAGAGTCACGCAAGTACACAATAATTTGACAATTTCCCCGAGGCGAATGACAGCAAGATAGATTCTTCTTAATATGATTATAGAAATACGTTTCGTCGTTTTATCAATACAATATTTTTTCACTTTATAATATGAGTGCCTAGATACAGTGTCAATATTTATTTAGATACATTTACAATATTATTACAGGAATACTCGCAAGGATTATAGAAACCGTTATTCAGATTAGTCATTTAAATTAATTATTTTTAATGTGTACTTAAAGTGCTAAGTATTACTAAGAAGGATTGGAATACTTCGTTATTCTAGTGAGTTAGATATCTTCATTTCTTAAGTACCGTGATTATACACTTACCGATTAATCTCATAGGTAAGAGTATCATTATCATAATAGATGTTAATGTTTATTGAAGACACTGTATGATCGCATTCTGCCTCCACTGTAACATATTAATAACTCTCTACTACTCTTCGTTATTCGGGTCAGGTGTTCTTCGTTTTTCGATAGGTTACGTAGTAAAAAAAAATAGAAGCAACACATTGCCAAGACTAGAGAGAGGCAGTCAAAGGTTTTTATTACGTTATTCCAGCTAAACCATCATCAACAGCCTGTAGTAGTCCACTACTAGACATAGGCCTCTCCTTAGAAAGGAGGCTTTGGCTTACTATAGCTAAACCATACGATCATAGAATTAAAGAAAATCACACAACTGTTAAAGACACAATCTGCTGCGTCGAAGAAAACATAAATGCTGAAAATGATACACGACCATTCTTGTGCTGAAGTATTTAAATTCCTGAAAACATTCTTTAAATGGCATGAAAAAGAAACAGAGTTTGAAACTGTGAGTTTACTTAAGTTGAAACGCGTTCGTTACATAAGTAGATGTATGTTTGTTATGTTAAATGCGTACCAACAGGATAACTTATCGTAACATACTGTGCGTACCAATGGGATGACCTATCGTATGGTATGTAAAATACCCCTTTAGTAGAACGAAGAACGGGATAGCTTTTGTCAAAAACTGAAGTTGCTAACATAGCACCCAAGTTTAAATACTGCCGAGCTACCTTCGTTGATGGAGAGAATTTTTCCACTTCCATGACAAGTTATCATTCAATGTGCAACATGGAATCAAAGTATATTTGTAAAGTCAAGGTAGATTTGCACCCAGAACAAATATTGTGTGATGAGCATGATCATTTGTTCTGTATTTGGGTGTTATTTATAATCATAATCATCATTTATTTGCGGAAACATAGGTTAGTTACAGGTCTTAGGATTATGTTAGAGGTACACTATGTCCCATCACATTATGCGGTGGGTATACAAATAATTATATTTTTAAAATATGTATATTATGTTATAAAAATAATATGTTGTGTTCCACTAATTAGGTATGTTAATTTATCATTCAAGTAATCTCCAATAGAAGCTAAGCTTAATTTAACATTAATTATTTTAATCTACTTTTTTAATATCTGTGGGAATAGTATCAACAGATTGAACATACTTGGGCAACTTATTGTAAATTTTTAGCGCCATTACAAATATACTTTTGTGGTATAATGTCGTTTTGGCTGTTGTTATCTATAATATGTATGTATTTAGAAATATGTAAGTATGTTTATCAGCATTCTGGTTACCATAGTACAGAGTCTGCCTAGTTTGAGATCAGACTGTGTGTGAAATATGTGAAGTTATTATTATTATTTTACTCCTGTAAGTTTCTACTTACAAGCATACTTTTACAGTTGCGTGTTATTGGGTAATTAATAACTACTAAGTCATAATATCGTATCGTATCGTCCGTGTGGTGACGGATTAAGACTACAGTAAGAGGCGACTAAGGGAGCAAACTACGAAGGACGACAGCAAGGCAGAGAGAAGGAAAACGTGACACAAACCAAGGCTAAAAGCTTATTTCTAAGAAGAAGCCTATGTCCAGCAGCGGACTAGTAAAAGCTGTTGATGAAATCATGCTATAATAATTTATTAGTTTATTGAATCATTTTTTTAAATGTACCGTTTTATAAGTAGATTTAACAAAAGATCAGAATTTCATGTCTATGGATTTTTATTCACGATTTCAGCGTAATCAGTAGCTGTATTGGTTAGTTACGAGTGTGTTGTGTGATCGGTATTCCGTGACCTCTATACCTTGCACCGCCTGTCGCTGCGTGCTACCCTGGTACCAATATGACATGACCTCATTATATCTGTGCTTAAATCACGTTCTTATGCTTATTACTATACTTACATGGTTTAAGAAATAGACTATATTCTTGGAAAACATATAATATATGCATAATGCCTTGACTGGCCTGTTGGTCTAGCGGTTAGCGACCCTGACTGTTGTTATGAGTGCCAGATGTTATGTGTCCGATTCTCACTCAAGACAAATATTTTAAGATGGATACGATCATTATTTGTGTCTGTCTAATTAATATCAATACTAGTTAGTGACCGCGGCTTTGTTCTTGTGATTATTTCTTTTTTTTTCTAACTTTGAAAATGTCGAGTTCTGAGGTGAAAAACAGAAAAATATGGCCGTATGTGAACCAGAGAATGATGAAAACAGTTTCTTATAATTCTTCATGAAGTAGAGTTATTGAAGTCAGTGGTACTTAGTTAATTCGATAATTTTAAATGAACATAACATGGTAATTACCAAAAAGTTTCCAATGAATTGTGTGAATATTTTGCTGCCTCCTTAAAAACACAGGTTGTTTTATTTTTACACTTTCCTATTTGATTACTTTTGACTTTATGTTGCATAATTTGATCACCTTGATAACCTCTAAGACGTTACTTGAATGTATCGATTTCATTGTTATGAAATGATTATACCTGAAGCTGAAGAAACTTAAAGGACTCTGAATCCAGGTAGGAAGATTCAGTAATAAAAACTATCACTGTCATAAACAACCACATTGACATTTGTCATCTGGCCATCATCCGTCACGTATAAAACCGCTGTGTTATAGTTTTTAGTATTTTTTTCTATGAAAACTTTATTTAAAATTACTTGTTGTTGCTTTATTTTTATTTGTTAATATGTTTGCAAAACCTTACAAATTAAAATCCAACACTACTTTGAAGAATTCCGAAAAGTAGGTTCGAATTTCGTAACACCTGCTGTTTAAGTCTGTTTTGAATCATTTTTAAAACTTTCCATAACTTTTCAGAAAGCACTTAGCTCAACGTATCCAAGATGAGTTCCCTTCGACTACAGAGGAGAAAGTCAAGCAGTTGGTGCCTGTTAAATCTAGCTGTATATGTATGAAGCTGGTGCTCCACTCTGGCGACACAGTGAACGTTTTCTCTGTAGATAACGTGCCTATGTTAATTGAGACAGAGGAGCGGTTACTTCCAACTGTCTGTGCGCTGTGGAAGGTGCCAGATCTAGTACCAGTCCTTGTCATCCACAGTCCTGTGCTGTCCAAGGTATTATGTTTACACTAAATGTAATTAACTAAGCTTTCTCTGGGATGACGAAATTAAAAGAAATCCTAGTTACTCTGGTCTGGTATTTGCAGTAGATATTTGAAAAGGAACTGCAATGCTATTCAGACATAAAAAATATAATAATGTATAAGAATAAATTGTATATTTTTATTATTACAATAAAATTACCACTTAATTTTACTAAGGGTGATTGAGTGACTGAATCTCATTAGAAGAAGTTTTTAGAAGTTGCTGTAATATTGCCCTGTTTCCAGATTTATAAGTATACACTTATTTTAAAAGTTTTGGCATAAGTCAGTAAAAAACCAATTAAAGAAATATATCTAAATAGGGTTCAAAAAAGCTGGCAACTAGGTAAAGTTCCTTCTGGTCACGAGAAGTGTGTTAATTATCTTTGTCCAAATTTGCATTTACCACATGATTTAAAATCAAATTTGCATTTTCTTTCCTTGGAAAATAACTAATTATCATTTTATTATCTTCAGATCCACGGTGGTGCTCCCTTATATCTGCCAGGTGTTGTGACTCCAGAAGGTGGCAAAGGATTCCCAATGTTCCAACGAAATACAGTGATAGCACTGTGCACACAGGACAATGCTGCAGCAGGCATTGTTGGACGTGCTCTTATTTCCAGTGCAGATATGTTGTTACGAGCTGCGTTAGTATTTTATTTTGCTTTAATTCTTATGACAACTCTTCTTTTAATTAATAATCATTAGACACTGATTTTGAGAGATTGATTGTCTGTACATAAATAAAATTGTCTGAAATTTCACTTCATTTTAAATTTATAGTTTAAATCAGTTTTCTTATTTATTGAAAATAAATAAAAATGAACTTGAATGTAAAATTTTAAAGGAAAATATAAGATATTAAGAAAAACAATAATATTATTACAAACTACCCACAACCAGCAAAAAATAATTATTGTAAAACTATTTTTTAGTGTTTACTAATTTAGAATTAAATTTTAGAAAGTGTTGTTAAATTGTAAGTTAATTTAGAAAATGATCCTTTAGCAAAGTTACTTCATTCTTAACATCATATTACATTTGATTACTTCTAATTATATTTTCTACATCAGCTAAATTATGTCGAAAACCCATGCAGGAAAGATGGTATTATTATTAAATACAGGGAGCACTTTATTACTAGCAGACCTTAAAGTAAACATATTAACTGATATAACATAATTTTTCCAGTGGAGTTTGTTTGGAAACACTTCACGTGATGGGTGACCAGCTCTGTAAGGATATCAAATTCAATAAAATTGAGAGGCCAAAGATGGGTCCTGCATCCTACGGTCAGGGTGACCTCACAGACAATATCACTGCAGATGTTAGACAGGTAATTAAAGCTAGTAATTTATAGCTCTAGAGAATTGTTTTAATTAAACTATGACAGCATGGGGCAGCTATGAAATAAAGAATTTATTTTTAAAGTAAAAATCACCCATATAAGTTCTACCACCTATATTTTATAAGCTGAACATACCATGGTTTGTTTCCAGTTAAGCATACAACCAACAATAAAAGAAGAATGGCCAAGCCTAGGCAAACCAGTGCCACCCCTCGCTCCCGTTGCACCAACGAAAGTGCCAGAACCCAACATCCCAATGGTTCCCACACCACCCAGCACAACGCCGCCTGTGCGGAATGAACCTAAACTTATCACTGAGTCATCTAAAAGTGAAGAAGAGACTGATGTAATGGATGATGAAATTAAAGGTAAGTGTTAAAAAAAGTTGATTAGAGTAGATATTGTGTTTACAAAAAATCCAAATAAATCTCCCAGGGGATCCTAGTGGGCGGAGGCCAAGATTATCAGAATAATATAGTTTTGCATTATTATGTACGCTGACTGATGAGAATTGTTGGCAATACTATACAAAATGGAATATGTTGAAATAAAAGTTAAGATTGTAAGTTTTACTTAAAATAAAAAGTTTTGAAGTTTTTAATGTAAGTTGAACATAATTATGAGCGCGATTTAAAAATTCTTGGCCTGACCAAGAAAGAAAAGAGAAAATTAAAAGTATTTTATTTTTCTACAAATTCTCTCCTCGTCTCAATATAATTATTTAATCTATGCATCAGCGCTTCTGCAGTGCTAAAACTAGCGTTTTATGCGCCCGATGCAAGCTTCTATACTTGCGCCTATAAAATATTTTCGAAAATACTAATACCTATACATTTACATCCGTTCTACACTACCTTGGTTATTGCTGCAGGTTCCAAGGTCTGCGCCCTGTGCCCAGGCATCGCTGGATCGATATCTAAATCTTAAATAAACGGCTACTTCTCACGGATCCTCCCTTCGTTGACCGGTTGTTGTAGCGAATCTTGGGAGAGACCTATGTCCAATAGTGGACTTCTTTCGACTGAGATGATGATTTATCACTTTGGAGTGGAAATAGTTCTACAATCCTAAATCCTTTGAATTACTGAACTTCCTTTTTTAAGAAAGTGAAATTTTCAGAAGAATCTCCAGAAAGTGAGCAGATCCCTACGGACGCAGACGGTCTACTGCGATGGTGCTTACTTTCATTCCTCAAACTGCAGGCTAAGAGCTTGGAGTACCCGCACAAAACGAACTTGTTGTATAAGTGAGTTTATTTATTTACTCATCTTGAAAACTTAATTCCTATTTAGGAGAATCAATGCTGTGTACAAGCAGACATGTAGTTATAAAGTTTTCTTTGTTTCATCTGACATTTATTACATTCCCATGGGTTCCCATTAAGAAGACGACTGGCCATAAAAGAAACCAAAATCTTTTGCTAAATTGTATATTGCGATAATCCAGTTAAGATTGAGGAACAGCATTATCTGTTGCCCAATTCAAATGAAAGGCTAGTTATTTGTGCCAAACCTTAATTTACTGAAGCGATCTAGAGCTGGGGAAATGTTGACTGTAATCAGCAGATTACAGTCAACATTGTTAAATTTCATTGGGAAATTTAACAAATGATGCATGTTCCAGGAGTATGATGCAACTATGCCCACCGGATAGAACTGTCGATGTAAAGAAGTCCACCTACAAGAAGCTCGGCAAGTTCCTCGAGGCGATGCAACAGGTAACATCATTATTTTTTGTTTAAGCCACATTACCCATTAGAGATAATAAATAATAACAATAATAATAACTTCAAGGATCTCTCACATGGCCGTCTGATCACAAATTAGACAAAGCCTATACTACGGTGACCAGTCTGCTGATAGACATACTTATATTTTGCTAAATACACACAGATTATAAATAAATTACACACAGATCCGTGTGGTGATGGATTAAGAATACAGAGTGTCACCACCCCTATTCATCCCGTGGGTGTCGAAAGAGGCGACTAAGGGAAAAAACTGCGCAGAACAACAGTACTGCAGAGAGAAGGAAAAATTGACACAAACCCTATACCAACCCGTCTGGCCAGCTTGGTATATTAGGCCAAAACATCCTAAGGAGAGGCTTATGTCCAGCGGTAGACCGTTAAAGGCTGTCGATGTGACACCCAGACACGAAACAAATGATCGTACTTATTACACAATTATTTGTCTTGGGCGAGAATCGAACCTCCGGCTTAGCAGTCAGGTCGCTAACCACTAAGTCAACAGGTCCGTCAGATGTTGTAATGTGTACATCGATGTGCTATATTCCTGTTGCAATCATCCCACGCATTGGTAATCTAGTCAGTATATTCCCAACACTCGTGTATGCCTGTTCAAGGAAGGCCTGCTAGAAGTGCGCGAGGTGGAGAAGGGCGTGGCGGCGGTGACGGCCGTCAGCCTGGCGCACCCCGCCCTGCGCGCGCACCGCCCCCCGCCCGGGGCCGCCGCGCTCCTCGACCGGGCCGGGCCGGGGGCGGGGGCGGGGGCCGGGGCGGGGGGAGGCGCGCCCCTGCACGGGGACTACGTGCCGCCGCTCGTGAGGGAGATGTTCTGCGTCACTGCGGCCGTCGCTGACGTACTCGTGCCGATCAAGTTTGTACCTTCACTTTAAGTCTTCTTTCTAATTCAGAATATATATGTCCACTTACGCACGCAAGTAAGCACGTACACAATGCACGAATACGCTCCCGTACGCACGTACATACGTATACGTGCGTATTCGTGCATTGTGTGTGTACTAATGCTTATACGTACAAAGTTAGCCAGGTAAATCTCTCGATGATATAAAACTGACTTCAATATTATATTTTTTATTGATATGCTATTAAATATAAATCATCCTTTTTGAATATTTAATACAGATTGATGGAAATACAAAAATATATAGATGGTAATACGAATGAAAGAATATCCTAAGTGCAATTGTTATAATCAAATCAAATATGGTTAAGTAGAGGGGATAACACAGCAGACAGTGGAGGTGAACGCTGATGCGTCGCAAGAAGTACACCCTAGCACGGTGAATCTATGGAAGATTAATAAATTGGTCTCTATATGTATTTTTATATAAGTTTCATAATGTATACATGCTTATAAAGATTAATTAATGGACGTTACTCTTGTTCACAAAGAAAAGGTACAGCGGTGACCGCTTCGGAAGTGCGCGCGCGCCTCACGGAGTACGTTAAGGTCCATCAGCTCACCTCCGCGGAGGTGAAGGGCGCCGTCAAGATGAATTCTGCCCTCTCTAAAATCACTGGCAAACCAGAAGGGGTAATTCTTATTGAGTTTTATTTAAATCGTAAACACATTATGTAAATAATACTACTTGTAACGTAAAAAAAAAAATGACAACCTGCATAACTTATTAAATAATCATCATCATCATCAACAGCCTTTAGTAGTCCACTGCTGGACACAGGCCTCTCCTTAGAAAAGAGGCTTTGGCTTTTGCAATATAAACTGCGTCCAAAATTCTTTTTCTTCGTAAACTTCAATTTTCTACCGAGACAGTGTTCATTGGGACCCTTACTGTTTAAGTTATATTCATTAATCTTCCACTGGAGATTGACACAAAGGTTTGGTGACATTAATCAACGAACGGTTATATGCGAACAGGAGGCGGTGAAGTGGGAGGAGCTGATGAATAGTGCGGTGGGGCGCATGACGCCCGCCACTGAGATGCGGTTCGCGGACGGCTCCGTAAAGCTGTCCAAGACCAAGCTGGAGCCCATTCGCATGCAGATCGCCTCCCGCAGCGGCAACAAGAAGGTACAACATTAGGACAGGTGTCTCCACTAACATTAATTCATCTAGGGCAAGGATTCTCAAAGTGGTCGATATCCAGCCCTTGGGGTCGAAATCGGTTTCCTAGAGATCGACAAACGGACACTGGTTTTGGGGGTCGACCAGGTCTGAAAATCGACTCTATTTCTTAACTCTAAGTTCTTATTTGAAACTTTCAATGTACTGTATTACTTGTGTTACATGTAGTGCGTACTAACTTGTTATAAATATGTCAAATATTTTAGTAGAAAGTATCATTGCTGTACTTTTAAAAAACTCAACAAGTTGATAAGCATGCAGTTATTTATCTATTGGGGTCTGAGGTATCATTTCATTTTAGAAAAAGGGTCTTTTGCCCTAAATCCCTGGTCTAGGTCATTCCAATGCTTATCTGTTTTGGTAGTTTTTTTGCAAGCAGTATTCCGACTCTTCAAGTGATCGAAGGAAGGGACTAAACCATTCCTACTATTTATTACTACATGAGGTACTATTTTTTACTATGTACAGCAGCCAGCATGATGTCAACTACCATGTTTATTAATTTCGAATAAAAGATGGTAACGATCAATCTTATTAATGTTTAAATTGAAGATATTTAGATTATAAATTAATACTGTGCTTGTTATAGATGTCGCTTTTGTTTTCATATTTCAAACCATCTTTTACTATCAGAAGAAACGACGTACATTAAACCTGTTTTTTATTAAATCTGAATGATTAAAAGTCACCATCTATTTTGTTTGTTTAGGTGACACTGGTATCGAACCTGGAGGCGTTTGGGTTTAGCCTACCGGCCCTAGGGCATGTGTGCCAGACAGGTGTGGCTGCATCTTGTGGAGTCACGCGAACGCCGGGCTCCAAGAGTGATCAATTAATGATACAGGGAGACCAGGTAAAAATTATAGTATTAAAAGTGTATGCATACAACTTGGTTTTTTTTATTGAATGAATATCAAGTTATCTCTGACTGTTATCGGAATAAGAAATCAAAACCTTTCAAATATGGTATTTGGTGGCGTTTTCGAATTATTTGTTATTTATAAATTTTGCTGCAGTATAAAAAATATATATAAACAAGGGAATCCATCAACAAATTATCAGGCAAATGTATATCCACTACACCCATACATTCTCTCTTAGAAATAATATAATTTACACAAAATTCCAAGCCCACAAAATATAAGGAGAGCTCCACAGGACTTCTTTTAATTTATAAATAATGAGGATATGCAATAGTGCAATGACATGCAAGGAACATGTCCAGTCAAAGTTACTGTCACTGTTGTGTACCTTGTATACAAATGCATTTTTTTTCATGCAGTATAAAAAACTATTTATTTACTTTTTTCAGAGTCACTTTGTTGCCAAATTACTTATTGAGAAGTACGGTCTACCTAAGAAATATGTTGAAGGAGCAGACAAGGCGCTCAACAAGAAAAAATGATTTCAGAAGAAGATGGAAAATACCAGTGTTAAAGTTGATTACACAAAGTGTGCCGTGATAATAGTGTGATTATTAAATAAAACAAGATATTACTTTTTTCATTGATTAAATTTTAAGTTTTATTTCTTACATTTACCCTATTACGTATACATAGAAAATTATGGCAACCATTGTTGAATTAAAGTAAGCCAGTACAGTTATAATGCACTCATAATGTAAAATAGCTCTTTATATAACTAACACTTAACAAATAGTTTCTGAAATAAATGGAAGACAAAAAGACTAAAACTTGAAACATGTCGGAACTTATTCCTATCATTAATTTGTTTTAAAACTAAACACAATAAACTTAGTTATTAATCTGAATTACTGATAGAGAATACTATTAAATTAAGAATACTCTATTGTGATTTATAGACAAACATCACATTATGTAAATCAAATATTTCTAATATTAGTTTACAAAATTTTAATAGATTTTTATGCTATAAGAATACTGTAAAAAATCTATAATACCTATATATACTATCAATACATTTGATAAAAATTTCAAAATAAAATGTTTATATAATAATATATTTATATAATTTTATCTATTCTAAGGTTAGGGTGGGTTGATGTCCGTATTTCATTTCATTATGTACAAACAAGCACAGTAAGACCTGTATTCCTACACCAGAGTTCTCCATGAGGAATTTCAGATACATGAAAGTTACAAACTTACAGCTACACTTACTACTAAACATAAAAAACCACAACCAATGTTATATCAATAAAGAACTAAAAGATCAGTTAATAATAAATTTTGAAAGAGATCAAAACTGCCATCACATTTTAAGAATATAAAGTAACAAAGAACCTATATTTTTGTAGCTGTCATGAACTTAAATGGCGTTTTAAAGTTTAGTAAAGATTTACGTTTAGACTTCCTAACATCACATGGGGCAACAGGGGTTTGTGGCAGACTCTGCTTCAGAGCTGAGCGTGTTCTATCCGAGACACTAGTCTCACTAACCTTAGTACTGCTGGATTCCATACTCCAATGACTTTTAGTAGAAAACATGGAGAGTCTTGAACTGTTTGAACTTGTAGAAGCCAGGCTCGCCTTGGATGGTGTCTTCCTTATGCCACTTTGATTTGTATTTGTAACATCACCCAATATATTCTTGACTGTTTTAGCCTGTTTTGATGGGGATGAATGATTCCAATGCATCGAAGATCTCTTTTCAGATTGTGCCTTTTTCAAATCCAAGTACTTGAACTTTGTTATGTCTTTTGCGAGGGGCTCCTGCTTCTGGACTTGGTAGCCATCATTGTCAACATTATCTAACTCATAGAATGTCAGTGTCACACTGTCATCGCTTTCTACAAATGGATTTGATGATGTAAAGTGTACTTTTTTGGTTGATACCTGTGGGAATATGTTGCGGCGTGGCATGTTCTCCTTGGTGAACTTGGTGGCAGTTATAACAATACTGTTATCTCCAGTGTCGGCCGATAACGAGCTGTCTAAGTCTTCATAGCCGTAACTCTTCCTGCGGCTGCGCAAACGCACGGAACTCGTATGAGGGCGCCGACGACGCGGCAAGATTTCCCTTTTAACTTCTGTAGCTTGCATAATAACAGGTGGTAAAGTAATTCCATTGCTCTCATTGTCAGAAGCCAACAAGTCCAAGGATTGGTTAAGATTAACCATCTTCGTAGAGGGACTTTTTAATATTTCTTTTGCTATGAGGTCCCTTTCCCTCCTGTTGAGAGACTCTTCGCGTTCACGGAGCGCCACAATGCGCGACATCCACTGCTGACTAAGAGTTTCTTCTGAAACTCGCTGAGGACAGTTTTTATACTTGTCCAGACACTCAGTAAGTGGCCTTCTGCTCCGTGGCACAAACCCAGGAAGCTCTAGAGCAAGTGCAGCCAGTGTAGGGGATAGTGGACCTTGTGGGGAATATGTTTCTTCATGCCCTCTGTTTGCAGTGTGTCTTGGACTGACATTGCAATATATAGGGCTCTCTCCAATGTTGAACAATGTCCTAGGAAGAGGTTCAACTGCTTTACACAGCTCCACAGCTTTCTGAGAGTCACATTTATTCACCTCTGAAGTTGTGTACAGCTGTTGAACTGAAACAAGTATCTCGCTGAGGCTATTAAAGGTACATTTACTCTCTAAGTTCATGAGTACTGTTGGATGGTACAGGACAACGTCAGGACGCAGATTCGCGTTCCTCTCGTCTGTCAGAAAGCTTATTATATCTCTGAGATCATCACTGTAGGGGTACTCTTTGATCTTGTGGTCGCTAACGCTGGAACGGTAGCAGAGTTTGTGAATGATCTCTCCAATCTGTCTCATCACATCCACGGATCCTGCAGCCGTGGCTAGTTCGAAACAATTGACTCGCAGCTCTCCACTTTGGTCGACAAAAATCGAGTCGGGACTTAAACATTTTTGTATGACGACAATGTTTAGATCTTCAACTGCTTTAGATACTCGGGCGAGCTCGTGCGACAGATGCCAAATGAAGCTCTCAGCGATGAATTTGTCGGTGGCCTTGCAAACCTTAATTAGTTCCTGCAAGCTGCGCCATGAATTGTATTCAAGGACAAAATACAACGTTTTTGACGGAGTATGTAGAATGGTGTCATAATAACGCAGTAAGCTCTTTGTTGTCACTTTACTTATTTTTTTAACTTCTTTAACGATGTCTTGTATTTGTTGGTCCGAGTACGCGGAGCAATCGTACGCCTTCCACGCAAATATGTTGTTGGTGACCTTGTGTCTCACTTTATAGAACGTACCGCCACAGAAAACGTCTATAACTTGATAATCCTTTAACTTTTCCGACATTATATTGGCAAATATTTAAGAAATGTGCAAAATTTACATTTTTACATTGAGACAAAGCCTTAAAACGTTTGAATTTATACGACGGTTAAGATACTAGTGATGTCCCATGCGTCAATATACTGAATATTTGAAAAAGTCGACATTAGTAACGATTTTCAACGGTTTTTCATCAAGCATTACTAAATAACTAAAATTAAAGAAGTCATGTTGTTTTTGTTATAGTAGAATTAAGTCTCACACTAAAGAATATGTAAACCAGGCCACTTTGTCTAACCCAGACAATTTTTTTTTTTATGTTTATTTGATTAAGAATATTTTAATAAATAATATTTGAATACTAGAAATAGTAATTATTTAATATTAAATACTAAAACACATTACTAACTTTGAAAATTTGTTTTAGGGGCCGTCATTGGCTCTGTCCGCACTGGCGGAAAAAAAATCCAGCGTTAAAGAAAACCAGCGATACGGTGGCGATTTATTTCCACAGAATTCTGCGAGAAAAAAAAACGTTCGGTGAAATATCGCTGTGCGGACGGCCCGTCCGCACAGTGATATTTCACCGAACGTTTTTTTACTAACTAAGAAACGTTTTTTTACTAACTAAACTAACTAAGACCAAGAGGGAAGTGAAAAACATGAGGACCGAATTCTATCAATGGATTTGTGTTAAGAAAAGGTAAAAAAATAATAATGTGGATCTTGCTGATCAATTTTTTACCCCTTATACTCTTTTGGCATTGGTATTGGTATTGGGTATTTTTTGGTGCCCTGAATCCAAATCTGAGGTCCAAATCACCAAATTATGGCTGTGTATTCAAAAATAGCTGTTTTTGGCCATTTTCGAGGTTATGTAGCATCGTAATGTAATGTTTTCTTCCAAAACTATTAAAAGCACCATAAAGTATGGCCCTGAACCTTTTACCATTAATTCGATTTTAAACAATACAGAGTAAAATACATGCATAAATACAGGGATTGACACTTTTAGGATTCTTTGAGCTTTAACTATTACCTAAAAATTATATTTGATTACTACATTCTATTGAGCACTACTACACGTTTGTTTGATCTATGTATTTTTAAATAAGTTAGTATAAGGGACTCCAAGGGCAGCAACGCACTTGTGACTTTGAGTTGCAGGTGTCCATTGGCGGCGGTAGTTGCTTACCATCAGGTGACCCATCTGCTCGTTTGCCCCCTTATACCATAAAAAAAGGTAATTTGACTCAACTAGTTATATTTTTTAATTTTTTTTATTTTTTTATTTATTATTATTAAAAACAGTATATTCGAATTTTTTATCATGTAATTAGCTAAAGTGAACCTTGGAACATTAATTATTTCTGTAATAAGAGTTTAATAATAAATTTTTTTAATTTATCGAATGCGGACATCACTAGCAATTCGTTCAGGAACTTTGACTCAAGTAATTATAATTTTTTAATTTATTTTTTATTTTATTTATCAGTATTGCAACCAGTATTTCGAATTTTTTAATCATGAAATAAATAAATATATGTAGTTTTATTATGCTACTATTATACTAAACTATTATCATGCCATTAATTCAATCTCTAGATTTTTCTACCATGTTTTATGTGTGATATTGCTCAAGTTTGGCTAAAATGGTAATACAGAAATTGATATCACGTCCTTGGTTAAAGAACGAGTACATGCAAAAGATAATAAAGTACTCGTTTAATTTCTGATCCATGACGGGCGGCCTATCTTCAAGTCTTAGACTGCAATCACTCAGTCGACCAGTTTTATTCTTGAACAAACTACGGACCGTATATGACTTGACTGAATTCCACGTCAGAAAGTATTTCAGGAAATAAAGATATTTTGACTTTAGTTGAATCGTTTTCATTCTTCCGCGCGAGATAGAAGTTGTTATGTGCTAACGATACTCTATTTTCGTATGAGTCTATTATTAAAAGAAGATGATATCGACTTGTTCTGGGTATGTGCCAAAAAGAAAAGAAAACCAATTGTCATTTCACTTAAAAACTCATCTATAGAAGGAAGTTATAATGCATAATAGGAGCAGTGGTAAGGTTTAAAAAGTGTTGTCGTGTTCTCCGTTCCTCGTCAGTACTAGTTCTTTAAGCTGTCGGTCTGAGGCCTTGTTCTTTCATGAGGCTCGGAGCCACTTGGATTGACATCGAGGCCCAGAAATCCTAATTCTGCCAGGTCCTCTTGGAGGAGTGGAGGGAAAGAGTTGGGAAACTAAGCGCCGGGCACGCCATTATAGCGGCGGTAAGACCCGTTATGGAGGATTGGCTCGAGAGGAAACACGGAATCCTCTAATAACGGCTGGATCCTCTAATATAGGAGATCACCTCTGTCTCATCCGCAAGGAACCAATAGTAGCAACCATTGCGGTGGCCAGAGCGTGGACACAGCGCTACAAAAGCTGCTAGAATGACAGCGTAGCGTAGGTGGAGCAAAGGCGTGCCTTGATGACGGCCATTGGAGTGAGGAATTTGCGAGAAGAGGAGGGTAGAGCGGGACCTGAAGAGGCTTAGATCTCTCCCGGCCAGGTTCTGCAGGCGGCTCAGGGGGCGGAGGTCACTGATTGTCATATGTCACCCCCATCCTGTATAAGCGCACGCCTGGGGGTGACACGTGAGGCCCTCAAAAAAAATGAACGCCCGGACGTCTTAATAAAAGCTTTTATCGGATCCCTCCTACTTCAGGCGCAGTGTATGGTTTTAGTGAGTTCGATTCCGATTATCTACGTAGCCACACGTAAAAAAATTAAGACATAGTAAAGAAATGACAACGAAAGGATTTTGGAGTCATTACTATCACACAGACGGGCGCTAGAGAGGCACAGGGGGTTGGGGGGAGGCGCCAATGAGATGCTTGCCTAGGGCGCTCTTCATACTTAATCCAGAATAAAGCTGAATTGAAGGAGATGGTGGAAGCCGATCCGAGTTCAACTACCCAGGAATTAGCGGCATGGTTTAACGTTACCCTACTTACAATATTTACTCATTTGCATCAAGTCAATAATATAAAAAAAATATGAAAAATGCCTCATGATTTAGCTGATCTGCAGAAAGAAATGCGTGTTGAAACTTGTATTGCCTTGTTTAATCGGTACATAAATGAATGAATATTGGATCGAGTTGTGACATGTGACGAAAAGTGGATTGTTTACGATAACCGTAAGCTAAAAATGCAATGGCAGACCCCTGGCCAACGACAAGAACGAAAGAAAAGCTTACCAATGAAAAGGTAATGGTAACTGTTTGGTGGTCTCGTCATGGTTTTATTCACTATGGCTTTCTCAGGTCGGTTTAGGCAATATCAGCAAATGTTTACTGTGCCGAACTTCGAACAATGATGGCGAAACTAGCTGTGAAACAGCCCTGACTCGTGAATCTAATATTTTTTTAAATCAGATGATTTGAGCGTGACATAAAGCACTATAATTTTTCGTGCCTTTATTTGTCACATTTTATAAAAAATTAAAAAATAAAAATATTTCTAACCGTCAGATTTATAATACACTTTAAAATTATCGTCAGATTTTTGGAACATCAAGCTGAACCGTGTGTATAAAATATAACACGCTCGGGCATTGAGTTAAAACAACACTATATCAATACGCTCGGGTAGTTTGCATTTTCGATAATTCGCTACGAGCTTGTGTCATTTTAAAATCGTCAGAACTTCCAATGGGAACTTCCATTGTTTGCGTCCAAATAACATCTGATGTGCCCGAATATTTTTTTGTACAAACCTGTAGAAGCTTTTCCCGCCGCAGAAAGAGGAAACATTATAAAACTTTTATTCATTCTATTACCTAATCTTTCAAATACAATAGGTCCTCATGACGCTCAAGCAAATCCACATTTAGCATCATGGCCCCTACTATATGAAACTATCATTCTAGGCGTTATTACTCGAAAATGTTTATATGTACATTAATAAAAGTATTTTCGCCAGAGTTATAACTTATACCAAAGTCTTTACAGACAGCGGTAACATGCTCGAGGAAGCTCAGGCCTTCCTCCATTCCATCAATCAAAGGACAGAGAGTGAAATAACAAAAAGCACATAAAATTCAAAATGTTTATTTAATTAGTGAGTATAAGCGTGTATGCGGCACAGCTGACTAGCAGTTACCAAAATAATATATCACAATACATGATCAAATTTAATTTACAATTTAAACCAAATATAAAGCCTCGACTATGAATACAATATAAACAATTATCCATCACAAAATATTCACAATTTGACATAATTATTGAAAATACTCATTTGATATAATTTAAAGCAAGATGTTACAGTTGGGGAGTGGGGGACGGTTCGCCCCACACCTTGTGCGCGAATTAGCATCCTATCTACGCTACTACATACTCAGTATTACGGATACTTTTAAATACCTAAATACTATTATTATTTACAATATTTTATATAAGAATATAATTCATCATCATTGACTAGAAACTGTTTAGAAATAATAATATGAACATATCCACGAATGAACCGTCTACTACGTAAAGGAACAAGATCATCAGAGCTCGGCACGAACCCAATGGACAGTTTCCATCTTTGGTAACACATTTGAACATACTTGTTTGGATCACTTCGCTTTGGGGCCTCGCTCCGGCCGTGACGTCACGCGGCTCGAAGGACCAACGCGACTCGCGCCGCAACGCGTCGTTACGATTTCATTAAAATTTAAAAACATATTCCACTGTAAAATTTATATAATTATAATAGTTTACGACTATTACCTAATATCACTAGCTCAAACACGCGTGTTGGTATCGAGGCACAAAATAAAATTTTCAAAAATAAAAGAGACAACAACGGTAAAATAAAATCTATAAAACAAGCAACAACCTAACAACAGGCGATCCACACTCCCGGAGGGAGAGGGAGGGAGGGGGGGACGCTCGGGTCGAACCTCACTCGTGCGGTTTGTAGTTGCATACATATATTCAAATTAGTATAAAAGGGTCCTCGCCTTTCTAAATACTGCGAATTAACTGAATGAGATCATGTTTACGTCGCGGAGACGTCTTCTCGCATCGACACTGGAATTTGTGACCAACGCCTGAATCTGCCTCTGTCTTAAGCACGGGCTGCCACTGACACAGTGTACACGAACAGGCGAATTTCGGTTCATACATTCGACGACCGAGTGCAGTGACCGTATCGTCCACATTTTAGCGTCACGTTCGCATTTCACGATACTATTACACGGTACCGTTAAGATCGACTTCGCGAGATCCTCGGTCTCAAGTTAGAAACGACTAAAGCTAAGGTAGGGACGAGAATCTAGAATCCTCTCTAGAACCGTCGCGTGGGCTAAAATGCAGAGAGTACGCAGTCAAGGAACCGGCGGATCATCAACAAATAAGTTATCCGGGCGACTCCGTGTGGCCAGCGAAAGGCAAGGTACAAGCGGCGAGCTGTCGGCACTCGATCGGTCGGACACAGGGCGGCGCTCGCGCTGCGGGCCGCGTCGACTCGCACGCGAAATGTCACAATTTCGTCGAGTCGCGGGCCCCGGCTACGTAACTAGAGGGGCCGGACGAGTTGGGGACCCGCCTTGGCTTCGGCGCAGAGCGATCGAGGGCGCGGGTCCCCAAGTCGCCGGTCCCCAGGGGGGAGGTCTACCGCACCCCGGCCGTGCCCAGGCGGTGGTGGGCGGTGCTGGGGCGGGCGGGGCGCCCCGCCGACTTGCGCGGGACGGTCACGGGTTCCATCTCCGGTTCCTTCTTGACCGGGGTCGGGATGCTCTGCAAATAATAAATGCACAGGTTAATAAAATACGATCACTTATTTTCAGATACGGATCACGGTTACGGTCGACGGACGTCAAGAACTAATTTGAGGAACCGATAACATTTTAAAAATTAAAGATCCGGCACGATCCGACTTTTGCCGGAACGGATGCTACGTACGAGAACGGCAGCAGTAGATACCTGTGAGTGGAGTGGATGGTGCCTGGGCGGAGTGTAGGTCCTGGTGGTGGTGGGCAGGGGCAGCGGCGCCAGGTCCAGCACGTTCTCGGCGCGCTGTCGCGGCAGGTTGTGCGCCAGCGCCGCGCTGCAGGTGGGGCGGCGCCGCCCCGCCGCCGACACGGGGCGCCGCGCCAGGGGCTCCACCCCGCTGTGCTCGCGGAGCTCCCACGCGTCTGTATCCTCGTTGTACCTGACGCACACGTTTCTATTTAAAAAGATTGTTCTAAAATTCAGGTAAAGTTGTATATGCAGGTCGCGGTTACGTGCTTTTGGCACAATTTTCCCTACTACGATACTCACCTGGCTCTCAATACAGCAGGTCTCCCCGCGTCGGGCACGAAGGAGTCGGCCACGAGCAGCCTCCTCCTAAGCTCGGCGATGAGCGCAGCCTGCAGAGTCTCGTGGTCCCTCCTCTCGTTGTCGTGCGCTTCCCTCTGTTCCACCATCTCCTCCCTCAGCCCCGCGTACTTGGCCAGACACTTCTTTAACCTCTGAGTCTTGTGGTCCACCTCCTGCTGCAAGTTCGCGAAAGTGTTGGTGACGATCGCCGTCGTCTCTTCCTCGAGCTCGATTCTCTGTTGCATTTCCACTTCTCTTTTCTTTCTCTCCGTGATTTCTGTGTGTCGTTGTTCGAGGATGAGGCGAGTCTCGTTGAGGTTGTTGATGAGGTCTTTCCCTCCGCCACCTTGGACGAGGCGTTCCTCTAACGCGTTGATCTGGTGCTCTAACTCCTCGGTTTTGCATTTCTCTTGTTCGATTGTAGACTCAGCGAGGATATTCTCGTTTTCTATGCTCACGGTTTCTTCTTCCGCTGTGAAATAAAAATGATTTATATATTTTTTTATATATATAAATACAATAGTATTCTACAGATATTGGATACAGGGCAAAGTTGAAACTGGTAAGGGTTCCTACAAAATCCTTCTCACGGGAGCTTCTAAAAGTTTTACTGGAGAATCTCAGCAAGTAACTCTTGGATTCATATGACATAGACATTCCTATGAGAGAGTAATTCTAATGTTTGATTGATTAATTATGATGTTTAAGTACTCGTATTATGACAAGGCGACTACTTCAACTTTGCGTCATTAAAGTTTATAATAACATTATTATTACTTGTGACGATCAAACATAAAACAGTTAGATATTTAATAATAACAGAGCTATGATGGTCGTTCCACTCACAGTTGTCTGCGGGCTGTGGCTTCGATTTAGCCACCTTCTCCTTTTTAACCTTCTTGTCGGCGAGGCCGCGCCGCTGCTCGATGAGCGCCCGCAGCCGCTCGATCTCGGCCTGGTACTCGCGCAGCTTCGCGTCCTTCGGGTCCTCGTTGCGCACCGGCTTGTTCTTTATCGCTGGAATATAATCACAGTACGCGAGCTGCAGAATGTTTCATCATAAATACTTTACAAGTCACGCTGATTTAGATGCTTTGTAGTTGTACAAATTTAGTGGAAGGTAATACGATCTAGGATCCTGGTCTCATTGACAGCCTGAATTTGTCCACTGCTGGACATGGGCCTCTCCTTAGAAAGGAGGTTTTGGTTACTATACCACGCTGGCCAGACGGGTTGGTATAGGTTTTGTGTCAAGTTTTCCTTCTTTTTGCAGTGCTGGTGTCCTGCGTTGTTTTGCGCCCTTAGTGGGCTCTTACGACACCCACGGAATGAATTGGGGTAGTGACATTTCGCACACAGTCAGTTAAAGCCTACACAAGAGATAATTTCAAATAATTTTCAAAATTTAATGAAATAAAGATATTTGAGTTTGAGATACAATTGATGTCAGGATTACAAAAGAGAAAGAAGAACAAAGTACTATGAATAGAGATAGAGCCATACTTATATTTTAAATGTGAAAGTGAGTTTGTTTGTTTGTTACGCTTTCACGCCTAAACCACTAAACCGATTTTAAAAATTCTTTTACCAATGGAAAGTTACATTATCAGCGAGAAACATAGGCTACCTTTTACCGCGATAACCGATACACACTAAGGAAAGCTAGTAAATAATAAATATGAGTCGTGAGCAAAATTACCTTTAGCGCGATGAGCATACCGCAGTGTAGTGATAGTCTCGTCGTAGTTATATGAAGCTGGGCCAATGTTCGCGATCATGATCGTCTTGCTGTTGCCGCCCAGGGAGTCTTGCAGGATACGAGTCAATTTCGAGTCTCTGGAACATAAGTAAGAAAAGGTTACTGTGATCCAAATGTAGCAAGGATGCAAATGGATCTCGCTGGACATCTATCACACAATGTTTGGTTGTTCACTATCAGTGATTCAGCTAGATGGACTAAGCACAGCTGTATTACCTGTAAGGCACATGTGGACTGTTCTCAGCCAGTGCTGAGATGACATTGCCGAGTGAGGAGAGCGCTTGGTTGATGCGAGATGCTTCCCGCAGGCGCTCCGCCGAAGCGCCTGTCTTGCGCTGGCGCTCGCTTCCCGCCAAATCGACTAGGTTCAACTTGCCTACCCTGTAACGAGAGATGTAGCATTAATGTCATAGTTCATGGACCCTTAAGCGCATTACCTTCTGTAATTCTTGGCCAGCAAATGTTGGCGAAACAAAATTTCGTCCGATTTTACAAGACAACTTCTTTACTAGAAAACTAGGCAACATGCTTGTGGACTTGACAGATATGTAAGCCACAGAATCAAAGATTGCCTAGATTCTGCAAGACTATTTGTGGATTACTCAAAGCGTTAAATACCATTTGGGAATCCAACACGCATCGTGGTGATGAGACCACTTTTAACAATTTCACCATCTGTGCAGTAGCCGTTTTTAATATAGGTCTTTTAAAATATAACTAATTGTTGTTTATTAATTAAGTACGTAATTGTTAGTTTAGCTGCATGTTCATTAGCTATAATTAAGTTACAAGTCAATAGCGCGTGAATAATAACGTCTCGTAAGGTTCCCGCCTGCCGCTTTAAGAATGGTATACACATGTCTCTTAGTAGTTGATTCGTGGAAAGCTTCGTTTAAAAACTTTTATTTAAACCATATTATTTTGGCTATTGTAACGTTTTGACAGATATTTTCAGCTATTGTCAAATATTATTGACAATATTACTATAGAAGATATAAGTTTTTCATGCAACGCAACGCATTATCCGTTGCTCAATTTATCAGTCTCATCTACTGGACATTACAAGCTTTTGTAAAGCCTCCATAAGCACCCGGGCTCCTGAATTATGTATCTAGTTAACGTCAGTTATTTTAACTTTTGTGTTGGTGATGTGGTGGAAAATAAATAACAAATAAAAGCTGCCGGAGCGATCGAATTATATGTACTCGTATGTGCTGTGTAAGTTTTTGTTACTTTATCGCATCTCTTTTCTTTAAATTAGGTAGATAATTTAATTAGGTACATGTTTCTCTTAAGGCCAACCGCCCTTAGGAATGTAAGAGTTATTAGACGGGAGAACAGAATCCTGGATGGGAAACGGAACTCAGACAGCAGTAGCTAGAAGAGGCTGTGGTCACACATGCATCCGTTCTATGATGGACACTAGAACAGGTTCACAAACTGACCAATCACCTGATCAAAATATTGTTTATAAGGTCGATTCCCCATTAGTTGAACGTTCTGCTTTGTGGGACCATAGACTACTACTACCGAATCTTTCAAATCCTACGGCTATCTGTACTGTGTTATAATCCACTGTAGTATAATCCACTGAGCAACTATACTACCTTCAAGAAAAGAGCGTACTCCTTCCTAAAAGGCCAGCAACGCATTTGTGACTCCTGAGTTGCAGACGTTCATGGGCGGCGATGGTCACTTTACATCAGGTGACCCGCCTGCTCGTCTGCCCTGTCTGACAAAAAACAAAGAAACTCTGGCCTTGTTGGTGACGCCATCTCTATTATTAATTTCAAACAAATGATTTTCCTGGGCATTCTGGATACATACACATGTGCAAGGATGTGCGAGAGTAGGTTAAACCGTTACTCGTTACTCGTGCGGTGACACAGATGCCATAGCAACGTCGGATAATAGGTGAGTTGATTGTTGCCGGTATACAGTCGGGTGCACGCACATTGTGATAGTATAATAATTTAGGTGAGGTCACACTGTTCTATTTAGTACTTTTTTTTAACTATTGGAGTCTAATCGTGATCTTCCAGATTTCGTTATGTAACATCACACATCAACAGTCTTTAATAATCTGGACATAGGAATAATAAGCTGAACATAGGCCTTTCCTTAGAAAGGAGGTTTTGGCCTACTATACCACGCTGGCCATTCGGGTTGGCATAGGGTTTGTGTCAAGTTTAACTTCGCTCTGTAGTGCTGTGGTCCTGCGTACTTTGCTCCCTTAGTCGGCTCTTAAGAAACCCACGGGATGAATAGGGGTGGTGACACTCTGTATTCTTAATCCGTCACCACATATAAGAATAGGTGTAAATTTTTCTGCACACGTCTCTGCCTGAGGTAAGAACCGTGAGCGAGTTAGAAGTTTAAATCATTAAAGTTTTTGGCTGGTAACTAGCAGGAAAGATGTATAAAATTGATTTAAAAATTTGTGAAATCATATAATATGTATGTGTTCATTCATTGCCAGACACTATAATGACAATCCCTTGTCATACATCTGAACCTAAAACTGGTTTATTTAATATTAATTTAACATTCTACATTTCACTAATTCATGCAAATAATGTGCCTTAAACAATGTAGGTATTATTATTCGATATTCTTTTGCCAGATGTTACAGAACTCATACAACGGCAAAATATCCAGTTAAAAAGGAAATTAATTTATCGCCCCGTGCAACTGAAGGGAACGATGCCTTCAAGCCCTGCGTATGCGCATCGGAAATGATGCGACTCCGGCTATCGCCGTAACGCGTTTCTATTGGCTACTTCCGTCCTACGATCGCACGCCTATTTGTCAGTGGTTAACCTATATTAGGAGATGCACATAGCCAGTGATTGTTACAATTTCCTGAAATGTACATACTTTCTATAACAGTTTCTTTGTATTTGAAACATCTAAAGTCTGTAAAGTTAAAGAAGACCAAAAATTTGGAAAGATCCAAAATTAAACAAACCAAATTAATTTATTTCCAATGGTAGAAAATGATGGGAATTGTTAGGTGTAGGAAGTCAGTCGCCTGTTCCCTTTTGTGGTTCCAGTGTAGTCGTAGTATATCATTTTTTTTATTAATCTAATCCCCTTTTGAACATAAACGGCATAGAATTAAGTTTTATTGGTTTAAACATTTTTTTAGAACATTTTATTTAGCATCAACTAGCGAAATATAAACTTGAAAACCGACCTTGAAGGTGAAATCGGTAGAGAAACGGCAGACTAAAGAATTGTTTCAGATTAAATTTAATTAATTAAGATTATCAGTCCCGATATAAACTTAGTTTATTGCTGCGTAATAATTGGACTGTACATAATGTATTTTTGAGTAGAGATCGCATAGGTGTCACATTCGATTGCGCGGATGGCGTAGCGGTTTAAGCGGTCACCTCGCCGCCACCGCTTCCTACTGCTTATAATGGGTTCGATCTCACATAGGTGTTCTTTGTGTCCGTTCCATGAATGTTTGTAAAGTCCTCCGCGCTACAGGATATACTCCTAATGCGGGAGTTGTTTTCAAAAAAAGCAATTCGATTTTTTTTAATGTCTTATTTCACTGACCAGTATGACTACCATAACATGTCAAAACATGTACTGGAGCCTTTATAGCCGCTTTTACATAATTTTTAACATTATAGTACACTAGCTGAACCGCGCCACTTTGTCTGCGTCCCTCTATAATAATAATAATAATAATAATTTAATTTCTCACCACAATATAGCATACATTACATTTGAATAAAACAAAAAAATACAAATTATCATTTCCAGAATATTGTGGGAGACTGGTGCCTAAGCTAGGCTCGAGGCCTGTGTTTCAGGACACCAGGTCTCCACCCCGTGTATATTTACATTTTAATATTTTTTTATTTATTTTACACAAGTCGGCACTACAAAGTTGCATGTTTTACTATATTTAATAGTTTATTTCTAGTAGCATAGCATATTAAGTGAGGTACATAAATTATTGTTGTGTGTTGCGTGTGAATGATTATGTGTGTATGTGTATGTGTGTGAGTGATTAATTGTGTGTGTGTGTTTATGTGAGTGTGCGTGTGTGTGTGTGTTTATGTGAGTGTGCGTGTGTGTGTGTGTTTATGTTAATGTGCGTGTGTGTGTGTGTGTGTGTGTGTGTGTGTGTGTGTGTGTGTGTGTGTGTGTGTGTGTGTGTGTGTGTGTGAGTAGGCGTGAGTATGTGGATGCGTGAGCTTGTGGGCATGGGTTTGTTCATGTGCATTCGTGTCATTAGCAAACTCTAAACTATTACCGAAAGCATCGCTTCAGTATCGTCATAGTTTAACCCCTTCAAATAATTAGTAAGCGTTCGCTTACTCATGGCCTTTGTGAGGTGGAATATCGGTACAACTCTGTTGACCTTATTGTACAGGAAGCTGCCCATGTGGCAAAAGAACCGTTTGGAATGTTTTGTTAAAAGCTTAAGACGTTGTACAGGATTGAATCTTCTTTTGACACTGGAAGGAGTTTGGTTATAGACTAGTAAAGAATGCTGTTTCAGCAGAGTATACAAAATGAACAGCTGACGCACCGTCAAAACTTCAGCCTCCCTGTACAGCAATGCAGTAGGAAAGCGATATGGCTTACAAAGTGCCACCTTCAAGATAGCCCTTTGCGTTCTCTCAAGGTCAATTAATCTAATTTTCGGCGCTCCACCCCATATGGTGATACAATAGGTGAGAACTGACTGAACAAGGGCAAAGTAAACCGCTTTTAGTCGTTGAGTGTCTAAGACGCATCTAATCGTTTTAAAAATATACATTAATTTACGTAACCTACTGTTGAGGGCGTCTATGTGTTCATGAAATCCTAAATTTTTATCTATGATCACACCCAAGTATTTGACGGAATGTGCTTTATGTAAAGGAGTGCAAGGGCACTGACCTCTGTGCGGTTCAGGACACGTGTGGGCCAGTATTGTATAAGGTGAGGCTTTTGAGGTTGAAGGATTGCCTTTCAGAGAGAATGTGATGTAGTGTGTTTTATCATTATTCAGGGTCAATAGGTTACTTCTTAGCCATTTAGATACAATATTGAACCCCGATTGAGCACGCTCGTAGACTTCACTCCACGTATTACCACTAAACACAAGAGCAGTGTCGTCAGCAAACATTACCGCCCTGCCTTTAGGTAGAGTGAGCATACCTATATCATTGACATAGATAAGGAAGAGTGTAGGGCCAATTACACTCCCCTGGGGCGTGCCATATGTGAGTACACGCTCATCACTGAGATAATCGCCTATCCTAACTCTCTGTGTACGCTCACTTAAATAATCTTTAAAGAGATCCAGTGGTACACCTCTGATTCCTAGGCTTTCCATCTTTGACATAAGGTTGGGTACGGAAACCGTGTCAAAT